GAATACAAAGAATCACAGTTTGCCAGAACAGATCACCATCTTGACAGGAACCAGTACTGGGGTTAAGAAAACCTGAACTGTAGTTGATGAATTTCTGGAAGCTCAGTGTGGGCAAAAAATTTTAATTTTTAATTAAAAGTTAGGAGAGTTAAAAATTCCAAGGTTACTCAATCATAGGGGATCCCCCATATTTTATATTTTTACCTCCAAAAGACATTTGCTTAATATGAATATGTGTATACACACACATACACACATGTATTTATAAAATGAGGAAATTCTCATTACAATTACAGTCCTCATTTCTGTAACTGGTTCTGTGGTCATGGCTGGTATTTATATCTTTTTCTACTACCCATTCTATAGCCCTTTTGTCTTCAAGAAGCACCTCAGCTGGTAATGATTCTTTATCTAGTAAAGTGGCCCAAACCTTCATTCCTGAATGGGTCATTACTAATCTGGCCTGGATTAGGATGTTATAGTTTTTCATCGATCTTAATCACAGGGCACAGTACTACTAAGAGAAGCCCTAAGGGACCTGCTGTATTCCAGACGGACTCTCCTGACCTCCACTGTGGAGCAGTACTCCAGTTTCCCTGAGGGATCAGGAGCAATCACCCCAGTCAGCACAGTAACTCCTTTCCCTGTCTTTTGATTCAAAGGCATGAGGAATCCAAATGACCAGGTGGTGGTCTCAACTTCCAGTTCAGTGGAATCATTGTATCTCCTAATGAATTCATTCATCCCTCTAGAACTAAGACCTTTAGGCCAGCAGAACATATAGTTATGGTAACAGGAAGCAAAAATTTTGTTAGTGGGTCATAGGGATAATGATGAGCGATGGTACTCACATTTCCATCCCTTAATTCCTAGACCTGTGAATCCTGACTATTGGAGAAACAGCACCATATACTGGATGCTGATTCAAAGAATATACAGCCTTCTGGAGAAGCTTGACCCAGCCTTGCAAAGTATTGCCACCTAGCTGACGCTGTAACAGAGTCTTCAAAAGACATCCCACTGTTTTATCAAGCTAGCTGCTTTAGGATGGTGGACAACCATCCTAAGGGCTTCCCTGATGGCTCAGCTGGTAAAGAATCCACCTGCAATACAGGAGACACTGCTTAGATTCCTGGGTCAGGGAGATCTGCTGGAGAAGGGATAGGCTACCCACTCTAGTGTTGTAGAGTAGCTTCCCTTGTAGCTCAGCTGCTAAAGAATCTGCCAGCAATGTGGGAGACCTGGGTTTGATTCCTGGGTTAGGAAGATCCCCTGGAGAAGGGAAGGCTACCCACTCCAGTATTCTGGCCCGGATAATTCCATGGGCTGTATAATCCATGGGATCGCAAAGAATCAGATACGACTGAGCGACTTTCACTAACTATCCTAAAGTGGTGATTTCCATGAGCCTGGGTCCATTGTTATACCTCCTTTGCTGTGAAATGATTTCTTGGATATGAAGCAATATTGTGTGGAATATCATGATGGTGAATAAGGTATTCTCTGAGTCCCCAGATGGTAGTTTTGGCAGAAGCATTGCATGCAGGAAATGCAAATCTGCATCCAGAGTAGGTATCTGTTCCAGTAAGGACAAAACACTAGCCCTTCCATGATGGGAGTAGTCCAGAGTAACCAGCCTGCTACTGGGTAAATGACTGGTCACCTGGGGAGTGGTGCCATATTGGGAATTCAGTATTGGTTCCAGGTAGCGCAGTGGTAAAGAATCCACTTGCCAGTTCAGGAGACGCACGAGATGTGGCTTTGATCCCTGGGTCAGGAAGATTCCCTGGAGAAGGAAATGACAACCACTCCAGTATTCTTGCCTGGAAAATTTCATGGACAGAGGAGCCTGGTGGGCTACAGTCCATGGAGTTGCAAAGAGTCAGACATGACTGACCATGTACGCACATCATATCACTCTGTGCTGGCATACTGGGCACTCAGCAGTGGCCACGATCAAGTTGTCCTTGGTGAGTGGAGTCTGTGTTATTGAGCCCACTCCTGGTACCAAAATCCATATTAGTCAGGTTCTCCAGAGAAGCATAACCAGCAGTACATAATAGACAGATATATAAGAGGAACTTTATTATAGAAATTGGCTTATAAGTAGTTACAGAGGATGAGAAGTACCACAATCTGCCATGTATAAGCTGAAGAGCCAGGAAAGCATATGGCATAATTTAGTCTGAGTTTGGAGGCCTGAGAACCAGGGAAGCTAACAGTGTAAATCCCAATATGAGGACAAAGACCTGAGAAATGGGGGATGTGGGGACCTCTGATGTAAGGCTTGGAATCCAAAGGCTCAAAAGGCTGGAGTAGATGGATTTCACAGTTCAAGAGAAGAAAGCAAGAGTCACCCTTCCTTTGCCTGTTTTGATTCTATTCAGACCCTCAATAGATTTGATAATTCTTGTCTATGTTGATAACTGAAAGTGAAAGTCGCTCAGTCATGTCCAACTCTCTGCAACCCCATGGACTATATAGTCCATGAAATTCTCCAGGCCAGAATACTGGAGTGGGTAGCCATTCCCTTCTCCAGGGGATCTTTCCAACCCATAGATCAAACCCAGGTCTCCCTCATTGCAGGCGGATACTTTACCAGCTGAGCTACCAGGGAAGCCCAGGAACAGTGGAGTGGGCAGCCTATCCCCTCTCCAGCAGATCTTCCTGACCCAGGAGTCAAACTGGAGTCTCCTGCATTGCAGGCGGATACTTTACCAGCTGAGCTACCAGGGAAGCCCATGTTAATAAGGGTAGCTCTTTACTCAGTATACTAATTTAGATGTTAGTATCTTCCAGAAATACCTTCACAGACACACCAGAAATTATTATTTACCAGCTTATCTGGGATCCCTTAGCCCAGTCAAGTTGACACATAAAATTAACCATCATAAGTGCCTATCTGGGGACAGAATTATACTGAAATCTCTATCTCCCACTTAATTTTTCTGTGAATGTTAAACTGCTCTAAAAGGTTTATTAATCAAAAATAAAACCAAGCACACACAGATAGCACCAGAGCAAAGACATTAGCCTCCCAACACCATGGGGGAGACAGATTGTGTCGTTTACCTGATACGTAGAGCCCCACAAAGATGTATTAGAATCTGTGATTACTCCTATAATTATCTAAAGTGTAGAGCTGTCAACAACAACAACAAAAAGAAGAATACAGAGAGGCAGAAGCCCATGACTCAGAAAAAGGGCAGTCAATAGAAATTGACTCTTAAGTGGGCTAGATGTTGGATTTAGCAAAGACGTCAAAGCAGCTATCGTAAATATGTTGAAAGAATTAAAGGAAACAGTTCAAAGAATTAAAAGAAAATATTATGAAAATTACTTAGTAAATATGAAATCTTTATATTTTTATAGAGAAATGTAAACTGCTTTAAAAAAAACTAGCTAAAATGGAAATTCTGGAGTTTTAAGATATAGTAACTTAATAAAAAAATGTGTTAATGGTCTCAACATCATCTTTGAGATAGCAGAAAAGATAGAGATAGCTCAAAAGCAAGTCACTAGAGATGATCCAAACAAAAGAATAGCAATAGGAGATACTGAAGAGAAATGAGAGCATAAGAGATCTGTGCGATAACAGCAGGGGTACAAACACTCATATAATGGGAGATCCATAGGGAGAGGAGAAAGAACAAGGCAGAAAATCATCTAAAGAAATCATGGCCCCAAACTTCCCAAGTTTGATAAAAATGTTATCCACAGATCTGAAAGTCTCAATGCCAAATAATGTAAGCACAAATAAAACCACAACTGCACATGTAGTCAAATTGTTGAATGACAAAGAGAAAATCTTAAAAGCAGCAATGGAAAAACGACTATTTACAGGGGAACAATAATATGATTAATGGTTGATTTTTCATCAGATAAATTAAGGCTAGAAGGTAGTGGAAAATACTGCAGTAAAATTCAGCTAAGAATTGTACATCCCACAAAACTCTCCTTCAGAAATGAAGGTGAGATAAAGACATTTCTGGATAAACAAAATCAGGATTTATTGGTAGCAGCCTTGCCCTAAAAAAAACACTAAAGGAAACCCTCAGGCTGAAAGAAAATGACAGCAGATGGTAAGTCAACCACAGAAAGGAATGGAATTGGAACCGAGAAGTATGGGGGGAAATACAGTAGACTATATTCACATACACAAATATTCATAAGCTTGTGAATGTGTAAACAAAATGTCATATATCCATATGATAGAAAAATACTCATTGAGAAAAAGAAGTGAAGTGCTAATTCATGCAACAACATGGATGAACCTCAAAACAGCATGCTACATGAAAGAATCAGCTTGAAAAGACTACATATTGTGTGATCACATCATGTATCATGGTTACATAACTATTACAGACTGTATAATTACAATGGGTGAATGGGTATTATACAGTTTACACCTTAATACAGTGGCTAAAAACTGTTAGTGCCTGTTCCCAAGTGATGTGTATGGAGACAATTTTCATTTTCTTTTTGCTTCTCTGCATTTTCTAGATTGATTACAAAAATATCTATTATGTTTGGAATAAAAGACATCATTGGAAGTAAATTTTTAAACAATAACAACTATATATTTAAAATTCTTTTAAAATCAAAACTCACTCTCTCCACACACATACACTCAACAGGAACCCCAATAAACAGCAATCTCTGTAAGACTTTAACTAAAAATATAGTATTCCATTGCACACGAGAGTTTAATTTGTGGTTATTTTAGAGCTTAGGATAAGACTGTTCAGACATAAGCTTTCTTTTCCTACAGAAAATCCATGCATTTCATAAAAAAAAAATTAGAACTTCATCTGATGCCATCAAACTATATCTCAGATTGTTTGAAACTTTTATGAGTCCTGGAAAGAGAATAGCTATGGGCTTTAAGCATGAAAATGTCTAATTGATTGAGCCAAAGTTGAATTAGACACTTGTAAAGGTTAGCATATTACTTTAAATAATTGTTTCCCTTTTATGCAGATGCTGTTGGGCTCTATTTTATGAAAAGCATCACTGCATATCAAACAACATTGGGCCCAGATGATTATGAAACACTGACAACTGTTGAAGAATTTTGCAAATGGCTTGTTCAAAATGGGGAAAAGCAGGTAAATATCAACTCACAAATGTAATTGTTAGATTGTTTGTTAGATTGAGGCAGTCTTTTTCATTTCATAATTCAGAAAGTCCTATGCTGTAAAGAACAATATTGCATAGGAACCTGGAATGTTTGGTCCATGAATCAAGGTAAATTGGAAGTAGTCAGACAGGAGATGGCAAGAGTGAACATTGACATTTTAGGAATCAGTGAACTACAATGGACTGGAATGGATGAATTTAATTCAGATGACCATTATATCTACTACTGTGGGCAAGAATCCATTTGGAAGAAATGGGGTAGCCTTCCTAGTCAACAGAAGAGTCCAAAATGCAGTACTTGGGTGCATTCTCAAAACTGACAGAATGATCTCTGTTTCCAAGGCAAACCATTCAGTATCACAGTAATCCAAGTCTATGCCCCAACCACTAATGCTGAAGAAGCTGAAGTTGAATGGTTCTATGAAGACCTACTGAGCTGAGTGCCGAAGAATTGCTGCTTTTGAACTGTGGTGTTGGAGAAGACTCTTGAGAGTCCCTTGGGCTGCAAGGAAGTCCAACCAGTCCATCCTAAAGGAGATCAGTACTGAGTGTTCATTGGAAGGACTGATGTTGAAACTGAAACTCCAGTACTTTGGCCACCTGATGTGAAGAGCTGACTCATTTGAAAGACCCTGATGCTGGGAGAGATTGAGGGCAGGAGGAGAAGGGGATGACAGAGGATGAGATGGTTGGAGGCATCACAGACTCGATGGGCATGAGTTTGGGTAAACTCTGGGAGTTGGTGATGGACAGGGAGCCTTGGCATGCTGTGGTCCGTGGGGTCACAAAGAGTTGGACATGACTGAGTGACTTAACTGAACTGAACTGAACTGATGAAGACCTACAAGACCTTCTAGAACTAACACCACAAAAAGATGTCCTTTTCATCATAGGGGACTAGAATGCAAAAGTAGGAAGTCAAGAGATACCTGGAGTAATGGGCAAATTTGGCCTCAGTGTACAAAATGAAGCAGGGCAAAGGCTAACAGAGTTTTGCCAAGAGAACACACTGGTCATAGCAAACACCCTCTTCCAACACCATAAGAGACGACTCTATACATGGACATCACCAGATGGTCAATACCAAAATCAGATTAATAATATTCTTTGCAACCAAAGATGGAGAAGCTCTATACAGCCAGGAAAAACAAGACCAGGAGCTGACTGTGGCTCAGATCATGACTCCTTATTGCAAAATTCAGACTTAAATTGAAGAAAGTAGGGGAAACCACTGGGCTTCTCTGGTGGCTCAGCTGGTAAAGAATCCACCTGCAATGTGGAGACCTGCATTCGATCCCTGGGTTGGGAAGATCCCCTGGAGAAGGGCATGGCAACCTACTCTAGAATTACGGCCTGGAGAATTCCATGGACTGTTTAGTCCATGGGGTTGCAAAGAGTCAGACATGACTGAGTGACTTTCAGTTCTTCTAGGGAAAACAACTAGGCCATTCAGGTATGACCTAAATCAAACCCCTTATGGTTATACACTGGAAGTGACAAATAGATTCAAGGGATTAGATCTGATAGACACAGTGTCTGAAGAACTATAGATTGAAGTTTGTAACATTGTACGAATGTTTGGTGGTGATCAAAACCATCCCCAAGAAAAAGAAATGCAAAAGGGCAAAATGGCTGCCTGAGGAGGCCTTAAAGAATTGAGAAAAGAAGTGAAAGGCAAAGGAGAAAAGGAAAGATATACCCATCTGAATGTAGAGTTACAAAGAATAGCAAGGAGAGATAAGAAAGCCTTCCTCAGTGAACAATGCAAAGAAATAGAGGAAAACAATAGAATGGGAAAGGTTAGAGATCTCTTCAAGAAAATTAGAGATACCAAGGGAACATTTCATGCAAAGATGGGCACAGTAAAGAACAGAAATGGCATGGACCTAACACAAGCAGAAGATATTAAGAAGAGGTGGCAAGAAAAACACAGAAGAACTATACAAAAAAGACCTTAGTGACCCAGATAAGCATGATGGTGTGCTCACTCACCTAGAGCCAGACATCCTGGAGTGTTGAAGTCAAGTGGGCCTTAGGAGGCATCACTACAAACAAAGCTAGTGGAGGTAATAGAATTCCAGCTTAACTATTTTAAATCCTAAAAGATGATGCTGTTGGCACTCAATATGCCAGCAAATTTGGAAAATTCAACAGTGGCCACAGGACTGGAAAAGGTCAGTTTTCATTCCAATCTCAAAGAAAGGCAATGCCAAAGAATGTTCAAACTACTGCACAATTGCACTCATTTCACACAGTAACAAAGTGAAAGTGAAGTGAAGTCGCTCAGTCATGTCCAACTCTTTGCGACCCCATGGACTATAGCCTACCAGACTCCTCATTCCATGGAATTTTCCAGGCAAGAGTACTGGAGTGGGTTGCCATTTCCTTCTCCAGGGGATCTTCCCGACCCAGGGATTGAACCCAGGTCTCCCCCTTTGCAGGCAGATGCTTTACCACCTGAGCCACTTGGGAAGCCCACACTCTAGTAAAGTAATGCTCAAAATTCTCCAAGCAATGCTTCAACAGTATGTGAACTGAGAACTTCCAGATGTTCAAGCTGGATTTAGAAAAGGCAGAGGAACCAGAGATCAAATTGCCAACATCTGTTGGGTCATAGAAAAAGGAAGATAATTCCAGAAAAACATCTACTTATGCTTCACTGACTACACTAAAACCTTTGACTGTGTGGATTACAACAAACCATAGAAATTCTTCAAGAGATGAGAATATCATACCACCTTACCTGCCTCCTGATAAAACTGTATGCAGGTCAAGAAGCAACCATTAGAACTGGACATGGAACAACAGACTGGTTCCAAATTGGGAAAGGAGTATGTCAAGGCTGTATATTGTCACCCTTCTTTTTTAACTTATATACAGAGTACATCATGCAAAATGCTAGGCTGGATGAAACACAAGCTGAAATCACGATTACCAGGAGAAACATCAATAACCTCAGATATACAATTGACAACACCCTTATGGAAGAAAGCGAGAAGGAACTAAAGAGCCTTTTGATGAAAGTGAAAGAGGAGAGTGAAAAAGCTGGCTTAAAACTCAACATTCACAAAACTAAGATTATGGTACCCCATCCCATCATTTCATGGCAAACAGATGGGCAAACAATGGAAACAGTGACAGACTTTATTTTCTTGGGCTCAAAAATCACTGCAGATGGTGACTGCAGCCATGAATTTAAAAGACACTTGCTCCTTGGAAGAAAAGCTATGACAACCTAGACAGCATATTAAAAAGCAGAGACATTACTTTGCCGGCAAAGGTCCATCAGGTCAAAGCTATGGTTTTTCCAGTAGTTATGTATGGATGTGAGAGTTGGACCATAAGGAAAGCTGAGTGCTGAAGAGTTGATGCTTTTGAACTGTGGTGTTGGAGAAGACTCTTGAGAGTCCCTTGGACAGCAAGGAGATCCAACCAGTCAGTCCTAAAGGAAATCAGTCCTGAATATTCACTGGAAGGACTGATGCTGAAGCTGAAGCTCCATTACTTTGGCTGCCTGATATGAGGAACTGACATTGGAAAAGACCTCGATGCTGGAAAGCTTGAAGGCAGGAGGAGGAGGAGACAACAGAGGACGAGATGGTTGGAAGGCATCACCGACTTAATGGACATGAGGTTGAGCAAGCTCTAGGAGATGGTGAAGGATAGGGAAGCCTGGCGTGCTGCAGTTCATGGGGTCTCAAAGAATCAGACATGACAGAGCATCTGAGCAACAACATTCAGAAACAGAAGCTCAGAGGAAGCTCGGGTAATGCCAGGAATAAAAATAGGCCTGGTGCATCTTGCAATAATAGGTTTGTTTTTTTTTAAGTATTTTTCCTATACCTTGAAATATGAACTCATTTGAATCCAGGACACATATAATCTCTAGTCCTGTAAATTTCATATTTTAAGTCAAAATGGGCTTTCATCTTTAGATATAGCTAAGTTTTTTTTTTGTTTTTTTTCACTCTTGATATATTATTTCCTTCTCAGTTTCTGGTCTTCAGCTCTTTATTGACCAAATTTTTGTTTTCACATTAAAAAAGAGTTATAGCCATCAAAAGAAGCTTTTGATCGCTGACCTTTTTACTAGAAGTCCCATGAGTCTAAACTCTTACTCAGAAACTTTGGACCTGAACTTTATGTACTGAGTTTAGCATGAAGGCAGTGAAGACCTTTATTTGTCATGAGATACCATGTGACTTTGATCTGACCAAGTCAACTCTTTATTCTTCCTCAGGCATGTGAAGAAACAGCATGGATCTGACATGATCTTGTTGGTCATGTGATAACCAGTTTAAGAGTAGGGTTCTAGGCACATAATAGGGAAGTTTTTTTTTTTTTCAAGGAATGAAGAAAAAGCTTCTTTTATTTCACATTTGAACATTTTTATAAATGATGACATTTTCTTTGGTTCTGTTAATTGCCACTCATAGAGGCAAAAAACGTGGTAATGATTTGCAATGTTTTTTTTTTATTATTTTTATAATGGCTTTGGCATTTTCTGTTGGTTCAGAAGATTAATGTAAGCTAGCAAAGCCAGAGATGTATCTAATATTTTAATTTAGTTTCCATGGTGTGAAGGCACTTGGTCAGAATCTCGTAGCTTATTCTTGTTAGGTTCTGATACAGTGAACATCATGACTTTGTGATAAGACACCAGTATCAATGCCTAACAGCTGTCTGCTTCTAACCACATGTACCAATCTAGAGAGAGAGGCGAAAGCATCTGAGTGTCAGGTGGCTCTGAATCTAAACCACAGGCAGGACTGTGGACAGATCACCTTTACTACTAGGAAACTAGCTCCAGGAGGGCAAGGGTTTTTGTCTGTTTTGTACACTGCTCTGTCCTCAATGCCTGAAACAGTAACTGGTACATAGTAGGTGCTCAATAACTTGAATTACTTGCTGAATTTCATAACACCCTTGCTGTGGGATGTGCGTATGTGCTAAGTCACTTCAGTCTGACTTCAGTGTCCGACTCTTTGCAGCCCTATAGACTGTAGCCTATCAGGCTCCTCTGTCCATGGGATTCTCCAGGCAAGAATACTGGAGTGGGTTGCCATGCCTTCCTCCAGGGGATCTTCCTGACCCAGGGATTGAACTTGAGTCTCCTACATCTCCTGCATTGGCAGGTGGGTTCTTTACCACTAGTGACACCTGAAACCGTAGCCCAAAAGAAACTGATCTCAGGGAGACAGCAGTGAGCAGTCCTGAAGAGAGATCTTAGTTCCCTGCCAGGAATTAAACATGGGTGGCCTGGATGAAAACCAGGAATCCTAGCTACTAGACCATCAGGGATAATTCCATTTTAAAAAAAGCTTTTTCTCCCACCCTTAAAGCCTGAGATGAGACCCTCAGCCTGTTCTAGAGGACCATGACAGAAACTCAGATGATTTAGGAATTATTTTTCCTTTGAAAAAGAAAATGTTTTTTTTAAATAGAGGTTTAATCTGCCACTGATAAAAAATAAACAGGAACCACTAGCCAGAACTGCCATCTTCCAGGTTGAGAGTATCATCTCAGGCTTGAGAATAGGAGAAAAAGCTCCTTTTAAACTGGAATTGTTGACACCATTTTATCTTAGTATATTGAGTACAATTTATTTTCAACAAAAATATATATGTGTATATATTTGTATATGTATTGACTATATAAAATGTTGTCTATTACACACACACACACACACGTATGATTTTTTAAAGTTCAGTTCAGTCACTCAGTTGTGTTCGACTCTTTGCAACCCCATGAACTGCAGCATGCCAGGCCTCCCTGTCCATCACCAACTCCCAGGGTCCACCCAAACCCATGTCCACTGAGTCGGTGATGCCATCCAGCCATCTCATCCTCTGTCATCCCCTTCTCTTCCTGCCCTCAATCTTTCCTAGCATCGGGGGCTTTTCAAATGAGTCAGCTCTCCACATCAGGTGGCCAAAGTATTGGAGCTTCAGCTTCAACATTAGTCCCTCCAATGAATACCTAGGACTGATCTTCTTTAGGATGGACTAGTTGGATCTCCTTGCAGCCCAAGGGACTCTCAAGAGTCTTCTCCAACACCACACTTCAAAAGCATCAATTCTTCGGCACTCAACCTTCTTTATAGTCCAACTCTCACATCCATACATGACTACTGGAAAAACCATAGCCTTCAGTAGATGGACCTTTGTTGGCAAAGTAATGTCTCTGCTTTTTAATATGCTATCTAGGTGGGTCATAAATTCCCTTCCAAAAAGTAAGTGTCTTTTAATTACATGGCTGCAATCACCATCTGCAGTGATTTTGGAGCCCAGAAAAATAAAGTCAGCCACTGTTTCCACTGTTTCCCCATCTATTTGCCATGAAGTGATGGGACCAGATGCCATGATCTTAGTTTTCTGAATGCTGAGTTTTAAGCCAACTTTTTCACTCTCTCCTTTCACTTTCATCAAGAGGCTCTTTAGTTCTTCTTCACTTTCTGCCATAAGGGTAGCGTCATCTGCACATCTGAGGTTACTGATATTTCTGCCGGCCATCTTGATTCCAGCTTGTGCTTCCTCCAGCCCAGCATTTCTCATGATGTACTCTGCATATAAGTTAAATAATCAGGGTGACAATATACAGCCTTGATGTACTCCTTTTCCTATTTGGAACCAGTCTGTTGTTCCATGTCCAGTTCTAAGTGTTGTTTCCTGACCTGCATATAGGTTTCTCCAAAGGCAGGTCCAGTGGTCTGGTATTCCCATCTCTCAGAATTTTCCACAGTAATTTCTTAAAGAGAGTGCAATAAAGCAAACATTGCAAAATGATAGCCAGTTGGTGAATCTGGGTGAAAATATTTTGTGTATTTATTCTACTATTCTTTCAGGTTTTCTGAAGGTTTGAAAACTTTTTTAAAAAGTCATTAAAAAAAATGGGAGCAAGGACTTGGGACTTCCTGGTGGTCCAGTGGTTAAGACTTCTATTGCAGGGGGTGCCAGATCAATCCCTCCTCAGATAGCAAAAATCCCACATGCCTTGTGGCCAAGAAACCAAAACATAAAATGAAACAATATTGTAACAAATTCAATAAAGAATTTAAAATTGTCCACAGTAAAAAAAAAAACTTAAAAAAAAAAGAGCAAGGGCTATGGAATTCAGACTGGCTGGTCTGAATCTTGACACTGCTAACTATAGGCTGTGTGAGCTCAAGCAAGATCCTTTACCTTTATTAGTTTCCATTCCTTCATCTAGAAAAGAGTGTAATAACATTTCTCTGTTGTAGGGTAGTCATAAAGATGAAATAATATTGTCCATGTGAATTAACTACTATAATTAATTATAAGCTTGGAACTTCAACTGTTCATGGAAACATTAACTAGATGACATATCTCAACCGACTGACTGATCCTAGTGGGTTGTGCCATTGTGGGGTAGGATGCCTCCCATAGAGAAGAATACAACCAGCTTGCTCCTTCAGAATTGCCAGGCAAATTAAAAGTATGTTTGTATTTTTTTATCCCCTAGGAGGCTTATAGACTGCTAAAGGCTTCATTGAGATCTCAGGTCATCAGCTATGGTGACTGTAGTGAAAAAGTGGCTGAAACATTTTATAACATGGGCAAGATCTGCTTTGCCAAAGGAGAGCTTAGAAAGGCAGGTCAACTGCTAAGGAAGGTAAATATTGGCTGGTTTTGTTACATTTGCTCCCAAGCCTGTAAGAACAATGTGAGGGGAGGTGTGTGTGCGTGTGTGTGTTTTCCCTTCACTTCCTTTTCTCTCCCCTTCCTTCCTTCTTCCTTCTCACTCTTCTTCTTTTTTTATTTTTTTTTTTAATTTTTATTTTTTATTTTTTATTTTTTATTTTATTTTTTATTTTTTCATTTATTTTTATTAGTTGGAGGCTAATTACTTTACATCATTGCAGTGGTTTTTGTCATACATTGAAATGAATTAGCCATGGATTTACATGTATCCCCCATCCCGGTCCCACCTCCCACCTCCCTCTCCACCCGATCCCTCTGGGTCTTCCCAGTGCACCAGGCCCGAGCACTTGTCTCATGCACCCAACCTGGGCTGGTGATCTGTTTCACCCTAGATAATATACATGTTTTGATGCTGTTCTCTTGAAACATCCCACCCTCGCCTTCTCCCAGAGTCCACAAGTCTGTTCTATACATCGGAGTCTCTTTTTCTGTTTTGCATATAGGGTTATCGTTACCATCTTTCTAAATTCCATATATATGTGTTAGTATACTGTAATGGTCTTTATCTTTCTGGCTTACTTCGCTCTGTATAATGGGCTCCAGTTTCATCCATCTCATTAGAACTGATTCAAATGAATTCTTTTTAATGACTGAGTAATATTCCATGGTGTATATGTACCACAGCTTCCTCATCCATTCGTCTGCTGATGGGCATCTAGGTTGCTTCCATGTCCTGGCTATTATAAACAGTGCTGCGATGAACATTGGGGTACACGTGTCTCTTTCAGATCTGGTTTCCTCGGTGTGTATGCCCAGAAGTGGGATTGCTGGGTCATATGGCAGTTCTATTTCCAGCTTTTTAAGAAATCTCCACACTGTTTTCCATAGTGGCTGTACTAATTTGCATTCCCACCAACAGTGTAAGAGGGTTCCCTTTTCTCCACACCCTCTCCAGCATTTATTGCTTGTAGACTTTTGGATAGCAGCCATCTGACTGGTGTGTAATGGTACCTCAACACTGATGAAAGAAATCAAAGAGGACACAAACAGATGGAGAAATATACCGTGTTCATGGATTGGAAGAATCAATATTGTCAAAATGGCTATACTACCCAAAGCAATCTACAGATTCAATGCAATCCCTATCAAACTACCAACGGTATTTTTCACAGAACTAGAACGAATAATTTCACAATTTGTATGGAAATACAAAAAACCTCGAATAGCCAAAGTAATCCTGAGAAAGAAGAATGGAACTGGAGGAATCAATCTGCCTGACTTCAGACTATACTACAAAGCCACAGTCATCAAGACAGTATGGTACTGGCACAAAGACAGAAATATAGATCAATGGAACAGAATAGAAAGCCCAGAGATAAATCCACGATCCTATGGTCACCTTATCTTTGACAAAGGAGGCAAGGATATACAATGGAAAAAAGACAACCTCTTTAACAAGTGGTGCTGGGAAAACTGGTCAACCACCTGTAAAAGAATGAAACTAGAACACTTTCTAACACCATACACAAAAATAAACTCAAAATGGATTAAAGATCTAAATGTAAGACCAGAAACTATAAAACTCCTAGAGGAGAACATAGGCAAAACACTCTCCGACATAAATCACAGCAGGATCCTCTATGACCCACTTCCCAGAATTTTAGAAATAAAAGCAAAAATAAACAAATGGGACCTAATGAAACTTAAAAGCTTTTGCACAACAAAGGAAACTATAAGCAAGGTGAAAAGACAGCCCTCAGATTGGGAGAAAATAATAGCAAATGAAGCAACAGACAAAGGATTAATCTCAAAAATATACAAGCAACTCCTCCAGCTCAACTCCAGAAAAATAAATGACCCAATCAAAAAATGGGCCAAAGAACTGAACAGACATTTCTTCTTTTTTTAAAGTAAAGTGTTCTCTTTTAAATATTCTCCACATTGTGAGATGTGCTGAGGAAGACTATGACTACCGAAACTTTTATTGTGCCGATGCCTGGACCAGAGTCTTAAAAGAGTAACACTCTAATCCTGAAATCTTGGTATATCTGTAGCAGAATCTCGAAGAAGCACTCGAGGTTGTGTTAGAACAAGGAACACTTTGTACAGCCATCCTTACTCAAGCACTGATTCCTAGTATCCTCGAAGTTTATTCCCTGGAAGTAGGATGTAGCAAGAGGTGTGACTAACAGTTGTTCAACCCGTCAGCGTACTAACAGACCAAGCTTAAGACTTAGTAAGATTGGTAGTGATGTCTCTACTTAAAACCCAGATTTGTTCAATGTCAGAGGAAAAAGTTAGTATAAATCAACTAATATTCATGAAAGTGAAAGTGAAAGTCACTCAGTCATGTCTGACTCTTTGCAACCCCATGGAGTATACAGTCTGTGGAATTCTCCAGGCCAGAATACTGGAGTGGGTAGCCTTTCCTTTCTCCAGGGCAGAGTCAAAAGCAGTCCACACATGTATATTGCCAAATGTCAGGACTGGATACATTTTGTCTCCTTTCCAGTTAACTAAATGCAATCAGAAAATACACATTGAAATAGTAAGTAACAGAAGAAAGGGGACTTCATTTTGAAGGTTAAGAGAAAACAAAAACCCTATGAAAATATAAGGTCACAACAGCTTCTTCAAGGGAAGGATAAACACATGACTGGCAGCTCTGTCATGGGATCATAAACCTGTAAGAAGAGAAAACTTTAAAATGAAAGGATCACAGTTTGAGACCAAAAGATGAGATGAAAGTAAATTTTTAAGGGTGAATTAAGGAATTTCAGGAAAACAAGAAATTTGAAACAATGCAATCCAGATTGAAAATATTGAGGAGAATCTTAACATGCTGAGTGTTGTTGAGCAATATTCCCCAAATCTAGGATTGTGACAGAACAAAACAAATTTGAAAAACAAAATAAAAATGAAACAGAAAACAGATTCCTGAGTCCCACCCCAGACTATTAAATCAGATATTCTAAGACTGGTGTCCAGAATCTATATTTTTAATCCTCTTTAGCCAAAGAATTCTAATGTATTTCTGAAGAGAGACTGTAATATCAATACTTGAAATAGGAACAGTAATTAAAGAAATCATTGAAGATAACTTTTCTGAATCGTAAAAGACCACATTGTAAGGGCTTGCTTACCATGTTCCACACAAAATCAATGAAAGGAGAGCCCCAGCTAGATCTTACCTAGCAATGAAGGCCCTGCCCTCCATTTAGAATAGGGATTCAACCTGAATCTTTGTTTGGATGCCAGACATTGTGTATTTTACATTGTTGAGCGTTGGATATTTTTGTGTTCCTGTAAGTATTCTTGAACTTTGTTCTGGAACTCAAATTACTTTGTTGTGAAGTTCAGTTACATTGGAGTTTGGTCCTTTTAGGTCTTGCTTTTAAGATTTATTAGGTGGGACAAGGGCTTATTTAGTCAAGGGCTACTTATCCCCCATTGCTGAAGCAAAAGCCTCAATACCTCTGAGTAGCCCACCCAGTGCTCCATGACAATGTGGCTTTCCAGTTTGGCTGGTGGGAACAGGCATTGTACCTTGCTGTATGTAAAGACTGCCCTGTTCCCTCTGGGACCTGCAGATGATTCTTTTCTCAAGCCTTGGGTAGTTTTACATGTCTGTGTTAATCAGTACTCTCCTGAATACAGCTGTCCCTCTGTGTCTGTGAGGGATTGGTTCTAGAACTCCCCACCTGCCCTCTTTGCCAACACCAAAGTCTGCAGATGCTCACGTCTCTAGTATAAAATGGTGTAGTACCAAAAAAAAAAAAAAAAATGGTGTAGTGCAGTCAGCCCCACTATACCTGCAGGTTCCCAGACTGTGGGTCAGCTATATTTGAAGGGGATGTACTGAAGATACAGATATTCTTTTTCTGTGCAGCCGTCTCTCCTCTGTTACTCTGCCCTTAAGAATTTTCTGAGAGTCTGAGCTCCATATCCTCAATTCAGGGTGCTTGCTGAGCTCCACTTCCCTGCATCAAAGCTTGGAGAGGCTCACAAAGTAGTAATCTGGGGACGTCGTAGGGTTTACTTCACTTGTTTTCCCTCTCTCAGGAACACCATCTTTTGTTGCCTGATGTTCACTGTCTTAAAGATGGTTTCAAATATATTTTGTCTACTTTTTCTTTTTTGATTGTTTCATTTCGGTGGGTAAATCCAGTCCCTGCAATTCCATCTTGATTGGATAGAGAGATCAGCAGTTAAGTTTACAATGGAAAACTGCTTAAGGGTAAAATTATGTAGCATAAGAATGCAATGCTAATTTGGGACTCATACACTGATTTAGTTTATATCCATCCATTTGGGACAGCTATTTGGAAAATCCTGATGGAAACCATGGCTGTAATTCTGGTGGAGACCACTCTGGGTTTTAGATAGGCATGCTGTCAATTTTCCGGAGAAGGCAATGGCACCCTACTCCAGTACTCTTGCCTGGAAAATCCCATGGATGGAGGAGCCTGGTAGGCTGCGGTCCACGGGGTCGCTTAGGGTTGGACACGACTGAGCAACTTCACTTTCACTTCTCACTTTCCTGCATTGGAGAAGGAAATGGCAACCCACTCCAGTGTTCTTGCCTGGAGAATCCCAGGGACAGGGGGGCCTGGTGGGCTGCCATCTATGGGGTTGCACAGAGTCGGACACGACTGAAGTGACCTAGCAGCAGCAGCAGCTGTCAATTTTCAGGCCTGTTACTTTGGTTATCTGTAGCCACGGATGGTAGCGGAAGCTTCGGCAAATCTGAAGGGAGAAGCTCAGGGGGGTCAGAGCCTTCAGTTCAGACTCCTTCCTCCTTGGTAGGGAACCAGGAGGAAATGAACTTCAGTCCTTTGAAATGTAAACCTGTGACATCTCAGTTCCACTTGTGCTCTCCTGAGTTTGGTTTGTACTTAAGGTGCTTGCTATCTGATTCTCTTTAACCTATTATGTTTCTCAACTTGCCTGCAGTGTCTGATGATTCAAATCCTCATGTATGGAGATGAGCACAGTAAAAGCAGGGACACAAAAAATCTCCTGACCCTGATGCAGAGGTGAGTTCTGGTCCTGATCATCAGCCAGGTCTTCAGTGTGGATATACAGATAGCATGGCCTCTCCCAGATTCATTTATTTGGGGTGATTCACCTCTATTATTCTTGTTAGTTAGGCAAAGTGCCAACCTGTACTTTGGATGAGGTCAAATTCTAACCTGGAGGTACCTCGCCAATTTCTAGTAGTATTTCGAACCCAAAGCTATAGGGGTCTGTTGAAATAATATTTAGTATTTATATCTCCTTCAATACTGAGTATTATAACCAAATCCCACAAGACTGTCTCAGCAACAGCGTGACAGATACAAATTAGATTTATGACAAAGTAAGTGAATATATTAACTTATTTTTCTTGCTGAATATATAAAATCTAAGTCCCTAAACATAAGGCAAGTTTCACAGGGGGCAGGAAATATTAATAGTTGTCTCCAAAAGTAATAATTAAAGAATCTCTTCAGATTCATTTTAAAAAATGTTTAAAATTTCAGCCAAAAACAGTGTTTTGTGCCAACCTGCCCCTATATTTATCCTTGGCATATCATTACTGTTTGTTCATTTCAGAATGATGTTGATCCTGAACTGTTCTCTTTTGTTGAGTGTGTGTTAAATCCCTGAAGCTGAGCTAGGTCCTATCCATAAAGAACCTAAGCCTCACAAACACCCTGCATGATAGCTCTCATTTGCCAGAAGGAGCCTGACATTCTGTAAAGGAACATGCTTAAATTCATGTAAGTCTTGGAGGTTTAGATCCAAGCAAGTGTGATCTAAAGGCCGTGTGCTTTCCCCTTAGAGCCCTTTAACAAAGAAGGGTGTAATTACGGGGTGAGAGTTAGGATTCTGATTGCATTTCATTGGAGGTGATTCGTAGTTAGTACTTTCTCATCAGGCTGGCTGGTGGGGGGGATAAGCTGGGCACAGAGAATTCATGTAGCCCGTCTTGTCCCCATCTATCTCAGTCAGAGCCACACCTAAAGGTGGCCCAGCAGAAGACTGTCTCATGTTTCATCTTACCCAGGACAGCACGTTTTCTAGCCTCTCTCAGAGATGCACATGGTAGGAAGGGATATGGGGAACTCTGCCCCCTGCCCACTGGTGTATGTGAAAGTATGTCTTAGTCAGTAACCATCAGTTCAGTTCAGTTGCTCAGTTGTGTCCGACTCTTTGTGAATCCATGGACTGCACAGCACGCCAGGCCTCCCTGTCCATCACCAGCTCCTGGAGCTTACTCAAACTCTTGGCCATTGAGTCAATGATGCCATCTAACCATCTCATCCTCTGTCTTCCCCTTCTTCTGCCTTCAATCTTTCCCAGCATCAGGGTATTTTCAAATGAGTCAGTTCTTTGCATCATGTAGCCAAAATATTGGGGTTTCAGCCTCAGCATCAGTCCTTCCAACGAATATTCAGGACTGATTTCTTTTAGGATGGACTTGTTGGATCTCCTTGCAGTCCACGGGACTCTTAAGAGTCTTCTCCAAAACCACAGTTCAAAAGCATCAACTCTTCAGCACTCAGCTTTCCTTATGGTCCAATTCTCACATCCATACATGACTACTGGAAAAACCATAGCTTTGACTAGATGGACCTTTGTTGGCAAAGTAATGTCTCTGCTTTTTAATATGCTGTCTAGGTTGGTCATAGTTTTTCTTCCAAGGAGCAAGCGTCTTTTAATTTCATGGCTGCAGTAACCATCTGCAGTGATTTTGGAGCCCAAAAAAATAAAGTCTCTCACTGTTTCCCCATCTATTTGCCATGAAGTGATGGGACCAGATGCCATGATCTTAGTTTTCTGAATGTTGAGTTTTAAGCCAACTTTTTCACTCTCCTCTTTCACTTTCATCAAGAGGCTTTTTAGTTCCTCTTCACTTTCTGCCGTAAGTGTGGTGTTATCTGCATATCTGAGGTTATTGATATTTCTCCCGGCAATCTTGATTCCAGCTTGTGCTTCATCCAGTCCAGCATTTCTCATGATGTACTTTGCATATAAGTTAAATAAGCAGGGTGACAATATACAGCCTTGACATACTTCTTTCCTGATTTGGAACCGGTCTGTTGTTCCATGTCCACTTCTAACTGTTGCTTCCTGACCTGCATACAGATTTCTCAAGAAGCAGGTCAGGTGGTCTAGGTATTCCCAACTCTTTAAGACAGTTTGTTGTGATCCATACAGTCAAAGGCTTTGGCATAGTCAATAAAGCAGAAGTAGATGTGTTTCTGGAATTCTCTTGCTTTTTCGATGATCTGGCAGATATTGACAATTTGATCTCTGGTTCCTCTGCCTTTCCTAAATCCAGCTTAAACATTTGGAAGTTCTCAGTTCACATACTGTTGAAGTATTGCTTGGAGAATTTTGAGCATTACTTTGCTAGCACGTGAAATGTGTGCAGTTGTGTGGTAGTTTGAGCATTCTTCGGCATTGCCTTTCTTTGGGATTGGAATGAAAACTGACCTTTTCCAGTCCTGTGGCCACTGCTGAGTTTTCCAAATTTGTAGGCATATTGAGTACAGCACTTTCACAGCATCATCTTTTAGGATTTGAAATAGCTCAACTGAAATTCCATCACCTCCACTAGCTTTGCTCATGGAGATGCTTCCTAAGGCCCACTTGACTTCGCATTCCAGGAAGTCTGGCTCTAGGTGAGTGATCACACCATCGTGATTATCTGGGTCATGAAGATCTTATTTGAATAGTTCTTCCAATGTTCAGAAACCATAAGAACATTAATAATAACCATAATGTAGAACTTATTCCAATCCCCTGGTGTTATAAAATACATATACTATTTCTGACTCATAAATAACCCAATTCGGTAGGTATTTTTATCTTTCACATTCAGGTGGTGAAGCTGGTACTCAGAAAGTTTGAGTATCTTGTTTAAAATCATCTAGCCGTAAGTGTGGTAAGATTTGAACCCGGATCTGTCGTATTTAAAAAATGTACTGCCTTTCAGTCTGTAACAGGGATTCTGACTTTGAGGAATTTGAGAATACATATGGGGGCACCTGGCCAGCAGGCATATCCCCAGAGTCTCATTTTATATATGGTGGGACTGAGGACAGATAATGTTCAAGTTAAATTACCCAGGAGTAGGAAGAGCTGGGATGTGAATGTGAACGTAGCTCTCACTAACTCCAGAATATGCCCTTCATATGCAAGGTAGCTTACTCTCTGAAGGCAGGCTGTCTGGGTTTTAAATTAGGCTCCATCACTCAGCTCTCTGACCTGGGTGAAGTTACTTAACCTCTCTCAGCCTCTATTTATTCATCAGTAAAATGACAGTACCTCCCTCGAAAAGTGGATTTTCTGAGACTTAATAAGATCACACATAATACAGCACTTAGATCAGGGCCTGACAGGTCTTGAGTACTCAGTGAATGTTGGGATAAGAATAAAATTATAATAAGAATCATCTTTCTGAGATGCTGGAGATAATAGATGAGATATCACTGATTACTTCCCAGGTGGTGCTGGTAGTAAAGAACCCACCTGCCAGTGAGGGAGACTTAAGAGACTCAGGTTCTATTACTGGGTTGGGAAGATCCCCTGGAGGAGGGTATGGCAACCCACTCCAGTATTCTTGCCTGGAGAATCCCATGGACAGAGGATCCTGGCGGGCTACAATCCATAGGATTGCAGAGTCGGACACGACTGAAGTGACTTAGCATGCAAGCTTGATGGATAAAGAGTATGTATTGCTAGAGTCAGCCCTGTCATCTTAACCTGCCTCTGCCACTTATTAAGTACACAACCTTGGGAAAATCACTTAACTTCTGAGCCTTGCTTTCTCCATCACTAAAATGCAGATAATAGTATATCACATAGAGTTATTGTGAGTTTTAAATAAAATAATGTATATAACATGCATAGGCTAGTGCCTGACAGAGTATGTACTCAGTAAATGTTAGCAAAGCATCCTTTCCTCCCCATTATTCTGTAATATACAACCTTTTGCTTCTAGGGAAGTGGGTCAGAGTATTTGAAATTGTAACTGTGATTAATTGTTAGACAGGATTACAATATGTTTGTGTTTGAGAATTAGATTGAGAATTTGGATCTGAACATACTAAAGTACACTTTGTACTTTAGAGGTAATAATAATGAAACTAAAAGAATAAAACACGTAGTTTCAGACAAGAAATGCATGTTTCCTCAAAACTGAAAGCAAAAGTTTTACTCAGCTTGTATTTAAAAAGAGAAACCTCAGAATAGCTGGAATGAATCCATTGCCTCAGTAGCCTGAGGTCACTTTCCACCTCCGAGTCTGTGTTCCTTGTCCTCCGTGATTTGAAAAGAATCATAGGAGGGCGAGAAATTAATAGGCATTGGAATAACCCAATTCAGATCCCAGGTAGTATGAATTTCTTTTGGTTCTTGGAGACTAATTCCTCTCTCTGTAAATTCATTGAAACCTAGACATATCAGGAAAGCACATGGAAGGAGAAGGATCTTAAGGACTCTGCTATAGCAGAAGTCAAGTCAGTAAAGGTTTCTTTCCCTGAAACAAGTCCATATCTCATCCCTCACGAACTGCTGAGCAAAGCCATAGAAGTGGGTGCCAAAGCCCAGATGTCAAAAAAAAAAAAAAAAGAGGGAGAGAAAAAAAAAAAACCCAAAAACCCCAGTCCAGGAATTGTTCTCTGCGCTGAGCATCTTGCTGGGATAATCAGCCCCAGATGTCCTGGAACTCTGCTAGTTTTCCGATGTGCTCTTGTACTTTCTACCCCACCTCCTCCGGAAACCCAGTGACAACATTCACTGGGCTTTCATTGCCAGGAGCCCAAATTCCTGGCTTCTGCAGCCTCTGCAAAGAAGTGAAAGCAGAACTGGCTGCATGAATTAGGAGTTAATTCCAAGGTTAAGAGTTTGTTAGTTGCATGGGCCTCAAGTAAGATCTTAGTGTATAGAAAAGGTGCAGAAAATCTGATTTAGAAGTAAACATTGAGATTGTTTAGTCTGACTTTTACCTAAATCACAAATGGATTTCAGTTTTAATCATTTATATATTAAGCTCCCTCTAAGCTCTAGAAATACTCAGATGTTTAAGATATAGTCCTTTCAAGAAAACAGACACACTGGACCAGATTACAAGTTAGTCTGCAGTAAAGCTTTAAGAAAAATGTAAACAGAGGACAAGTAATAAATTGTGACCCTGAAAATGTAGGTGGAGACTTGTTTTTATGCTGTGGGCAGGGGGCTGGGTCTTCAAAGAAAAGTAAAATATCCACAGGTAGGAAAGCCAACGGTGGGCATTTGATGTAACACGACCAACAGCATAGTGCCATGGAGAAGCTTGATATTTCTGAGGAAAAGCAAGTGGCCTTGAGTTGTTGTAGTCGGAGGTATATGAATAAGACTCATTGGAAAAGATCCTGATGCTGGGAAAGATTGGGGCAAGAGGAGAAGAGGGCGTCAGATGACAAGATGGTTGGATGGCATCATCGACTCAATGAACATGAGTTTGAGCAAGCTCTGGGAGGTGGTGAAGGACAGAGAAGCCTGGCGTGCTGCGGTCCATGAGGTCACAAAGAGTCAGACATGACTTCGCAACTGAACAATAATAAGAACATGTTGGAGATGTTTGGGAAGATAAATTGGGGTCCTATTACAGAATGTGTATGTGCCATGCTGATGAGTTTAGAATTTATTCTGTAGGCAGAAGATAACTATCAAAAAATTTTGAGCAGGATGTGCCATGATCAAGTACTGGCTTTGGAACATTAACTGTCAGCCCTGGGAAGGATGGATGGGACCTGGGGAGACCACAGAAGTAGGGAGACCAGTTAGGAGGCAGATGCAATAGTGCAAGGGAGAGATGTTGAGAGCCTTAATTATCTAAAACCATAGTAGAAGGAACATGGAGAAGATGGGAGTTGAGAGCAATTTGGAGTCTCAAATTGGCAAGACCTTGAAACCAATCACATGTGAGGTATAAGAGAATCAGGGGCCCATTCAAAGGTGGCTTTGAAGTTTCTAGCTTGAGCAACTTGTTAAATGGCCATGCTATTAAGGAAAGCATATTGGCAGGACAAGGTCATCTTGGAGGATGTATAGTGGGTCTGGAGAAGATAATTTCCATTTTGGATGTCTTAAGTTTGAGGTGCCCATAATACATCTACTTGACAATGTCTAATAAGACAGTTTCTGGTATGGACCAGAAACTCGAGATATATTAGAAGTTAAAGGAATGGATAAGAAATCCATGGATTATGTGTATGTCAAACAAGGAAACGTAGGAACTTTAGAGAATATTTACACTTGCTTTGGAGAGAACATATGTGGTATTTTTTAATCAAAATAGAGACAGCTCAAGAGTGAGTTCCCCACTTATGGAGAGACATCCTGCATCTTCCTTTCTTCATCTAAAGAAATGCAAATAAGAGAACTCTGTTTTATAGGTTTTATTTACTGTATGGCACATAGTAAGCTTCTGTGAAATGTTAATTATTGTAATTATTATTATTTTATTATCCAGGAGTCATTCAGAAGGAGGAACTGGGAAGGAGACTCAGAAAGAGTCTTCAGAGAATTAGAAGAGTGAGGAAAAAACAGAAAGGAACTCACTGGAGGAGAAAGTTTCAGAAAAGGGTGTGGTCTTTAGCAATGTCACAAAAGACACCAAGGGGCAGTTCAAAGAAGAGGGATGCAATTGTCCAATAAACAGAAAGCAGGATTTCCAATCTCATACAGACTTTATAAATTCAAATGAAATATACTTAAAACTTAAAAAATGTTGTGTGGTAGGGGCTTCCCAGGTGGCACCATGATAGAGAATCCACCTGCCAACAACAGAGGATGCAGGAGATACGGATTTGATCCCTAGATTGGGAAGATCCCCTGAGAATGGAATGACTGCCCAATCCAGTATCCTTGCCTGGAAAAGTCCATGGACAGAGGAACCTGGTGGGCTAAAGTCAATGGGGTCACAAAGAGTTGAACACGACTGAGCACACATGCAAGAATATTTGTGATAATGAAAAGTACAGGTCATATAAACTCAGTCCTGTCAAAGATATGGGGAGATCAGCTATCTAGTACCCTATGATGAAACTGTGGATTGATACATATAACTGTATATCTAGCTGGATAGGGCTTCGCTGGTGGCTCAGTGGTAAGGAATCCACCTGCCAATGCAGGAGATGGGGGTTTGATCCCTGTGTCAGGAAGATCTCCTGGAGGAGGAAATGGCTACCTCCAGTATTCTTGCCTGGAAAATTTCACAGAGGAGCCTGGCCGGCTACAGTCCATGGGCTCACAAAGAGTTGAACACAACTGAGCAACTCACACACACACACACACACACACACAAATCAGGAACTCATTCTCTCTCCAGGTGGCCTTTTCCAATAATAGACAGTTCTAATTGTTAGAATGCAAGGTCATGAACTTGAGAGTCAGACAGACCTCTGTTTGAATCCAGGCTCCTCCACTTTCTGTGTGCCATAAGGCAAATTATCCTAAGCCACGGTTTTCTCTAAGGAGGATTATAATAGCATCTATAATAAGGAAAGATAATAAAGAGTAAACGAGATTATTCACATAAAAAATGTAGCACTGCATCTCATATATAGTAAGTGCCCAATAAATATGAGCTATTTTTGCAACTCTAGCTGGTCACCCATACTTACTGGAAGTATGAAGGCATGGATCATTAACTTCAACTTTGTCCTTGTTAACCATCTCTAGGAGAGCTGCATGCTGAAAAATTGCTTTTGAATAACTTTCAATGGCTCTTAATCTGTAGAAGACAACAGAAGGATCCTTTTCTCTTGATAGGAGGGGAAAGGAGGAGAGTAGCTTAATGCCCATTAACCTATTAGTGATCTATTATCTTCTTGGTCAAAAATCTTTGTGAACAAAAATTGCCTTTTCTGGGCTGAGGGACTAGGGAGACAAAGCCAAAGAAAAGTAGGATGGGAAAAAAAAAAGGATTTGGGGGTGTTTATTTCCAGAGAAAATTGCAGTAAGTAGAACAGTGGATACACTCAGTAAATTTTGTGTCAGCCAGACTAGTCTTGGGCAAGACCTTAGTGATGAAAGTTATGCTCCACAAGCTAGATTGTTTCCAGGCTACTGCATTCATATTCTTCCCCTATCATTAGTGTATACATTCTACTGCCGCCTCTACAAAATTAAAGGAGAAAATATTCTGCCAGACCTTGGTGTATGAGTGGGTGGGGAGCAAAATCTGCTCTAACATCCAGGTGCCCAGGGGCGGTGGCCTTTCCAAATTAGGATTCTGGGGACAGCTAGCAACACTGGGACCGGTAGAGCAGTGAACATTCAGGAGCATTTAGCTCCCATACGAGGGTCTCCGTGGAGGGGAACAGAGGCCGCTAAGTCACAAAGAGCCAACTCGGGGTCCTTGGTCTTTGGTAGTGCATCAGGGGAACTTAATCAGTGGCCCACAAAAATGGAATGACAGGAGGTAGAGCGTGAATAGTGCAAGGAAAGCAAGTATATTTTACCACCTGGGCCCACTCTGGTAGTGATTTCCTGGAGTGCTGCTTGAAGTTCCAGAGCAAAAGGCTAGGTTTGGTGGAGCTTGATTTATCATCATCTGCCGTGGGGCATGGGTTGGGGAAGAGCTAAACTTCTGTGACGGATTTGCGATTTATGCACAGAGTAAAGAGCAGTGTACCTTGAGTCCAGACATCTTGTATGCAAGTCCCAACTCTGCTATGAGATAGCTACGTGACTTTTAAGTAGCCTAAACATCCTGAGCCTCACTTTTCCTCATCTTCAACATTCCTTCAACAAATGTATCTGGTGAGCATCTACTAAATCCTAGGTGCAGTTAGAGCTGCAGGTGGTAAATAAATAAAGATAACTAAAACATGGCCATTACTGTTAAGGTGACAACTGTCTAGTGCAAGAGATAAACATGAAAATAATGAAAACATGAAATACAGATTCTGTAGTAGAAGTCTCAGTGCACTAGGAGCAGCAAGGAGAGAACATCTGAGGAATCTGGAGAAGACTTCATAGAGAGGGTTACATTCGAGTTGTTTCTTGAAGGGCGAGTAACAGTTCATCCAGATGGAGAAGAGAAGACATCCCAGGAAGAAGGCACTCTCTATGCAAAATCTCAGAGGCCTGACAGAGGGCAGAGTTTGGAAGGAATGGTGAGTTCTTCATGGCTGCTCTATGGGGCAGCATTTCCTAAACGGTATTGTAAGCAATGTTGATTCCAAGGGACGGAGGAGGAAGAAAGGCTCTGTGGCAGAAAGTGTAGGAAGAAACCAAATTGAATTACACAAAGTGACACACGTTTATTTCCTGAAGTACTTCCCAGAACTTTTTACACACTAAACTTCCCCCACTGGCATGTTGGGAAGAAATTAACTTTTAAAACACCACTGTATTTATATTTACCTGAATTCTTTGTAAACTGGTCAGTGATATAAATTTTGGCAAATAAAACCTTATTTAGAACCACAGAGATAATATCTTAGGTCTAGTTTTATTTAAAGCAAAAGGTAAATATAGCACATGTTTGAACTGAGGGTACATGAACACTTTGGCAGTTTGGTAACAAATTTGGTTCCTGCTTTAGCGCATAATAACTTCTTTATGAAAGATGACTATATCACCAGTGAACTATTTTACCTGATCATAGAAACATGACTTCAACACAGCCTGATGAACTAATTTTTCTTTATGATTCATGGTGGTTAAGAGCTCTAGGCATGGAGACAGGACTGTTCAGACCCAGCACCACCACTTTCTAGCTATGTATAATTCTGGTTTTCTCATCATAAGATGGGGATAACAGTACCTATTTTTAGTGTTGCTGCAAAAATGAGATAATGTGTGTAAAGTGGTTATCAGGTAATAAATGACAGTTATTTTCGTATTTACTGAAACCTGGGCTTTGACTTTATCGCCTTCTAGCTATACCATTGGCAGTGAAGGAAAATCAGACAGGGGCTAGGCACTACAAAGCTACTGTGAGGCTGGTGTGGAAAACATTTTGCCTGTTAACAGCTCAGAAGTGAGGTAGAGCTCACCCCTGGAAACACTGTATCATAGAGAAGAGAGTCTAACACAGTTTCTTAAATGCACAGATGATGTATCCATTGTATCAGCCAGAGGCCTTTCAGTGACCTGATTTCAGGAAAGGGGACTCCTGCCATCATGTGGCGAGAGAGAGCGAGGCCCAAGGTTGGTTTCTAGTTGCAGTCCCTAGCAGAGAGCCCTCTCAGATCTCTGCCCACCCCTGATTTTATGAGACCCCTGGGCAATTGACTTAATTTGTACCTACTTTTTTTTTTTTTTTTCAAATTTGGAATCATATCATCTCTTGGTTTACTGATCAGGAAATTAAAGTGCCAGATAGCTTTCTGTATTTTATATGGTCCAGTAGTAGACAGAATGAACCAGTCTTTACTGGGGCTTGCATATAAAAAAAAAACCCTCAAGTTGCTCATAAAATTTTATATCTCATATTTCTGTGGAACGGATTTTTTTTCAGGCAAACGGGGCTGTGAAAACCACACTTGCTGCAGGCTTGAGGTCTAAATAGGAGGTGACTGAGGAACACTTAATAGAAACCGGGTTTCTGGATCAGAAAATCGCTTGGACTAGATTACTTCTAGTTCCAGGCCAACTTCTCCAGTATCAGGCAACCAGCGTATGGAAATCTTAAAGGCTGGGAATGAGGATGACAGATCCTCTTTTTAGCAATTACAGTGCCTCTGGGCTCTAATCTCTGTGCTCATGAGGAGGAATCACCTGAAAAGCACAAACAATATATAAAAGGCCCTAAGTTAGGTAATTTTTTTTTCAGCTGTGATTAAATGCAATCCAGATATCTTAGATACACCCCTCACCTGCTGTCTGAATCAAAGGAAGTCCCCTGCTCTTTAGGGAGAAAACCTAAGACTCAAGTAGCATTTTGGAGGCCCTTTAGCAGAGTTAGCATTTTAGGGGGATAGTCACTTGGTAAAATAGTTGCCTCAGACTGAGTTCAGCCTTCTAGCTCAATAAGGCAGTGATTGGTGCTAGAAAGAGGGAGAGATGTCAAAAACCAAGAAAAAATGCACAAATGGTTTTCTCCTTTCCTCTAGGTCTTCTGTTATCAGTAAAGGGAAAACCTCTATACAGAATAGTCAACAATAAAGCCAACCTGTTGATAACAAGCATTCTTGACCACAAAATATATTTACCAACACCGATAGCAGTGGCAGATCAAAAACAGAACCAAGGATTCTGGGCGGGGGGGGGGGGGGAGGTGGGCGGGAAAGATACATTTAACAAGGGCATTATAGGTAAAATACATATGGCCATTAGAAACCACGATCCTGTTACCTGAGAGGAAGGAATCTTTTTAGACACATGCTTTAAGTTAGTTTCACATGTCACTGGGACTCCCATTACCTTCCATTTCCGCTTTTCTAATTTCATTCTTTCCCATTCTGACTTTTAAAAAAAGTTCTGCAGTGCATAAGTAGTTTATGCATGAGCATTTTAATACAGTACTTGTAAATATCTTTAGCCATAACCTCTTTGGGGTCCCTAAAATTGCTTTGTGAGGAAATGTTTGACCTTCTGGAAGACTGACCTAACCTGGTCTACTGGAGTCATACCATGTTAGAGCCATAGGCCTTTTTGATTTTCGTAAATGAAGAAAACAGGGACAAGAGGGATTGATTCATTCACGGTCAGTCTAGTGACTATAAAGCAGATAGTCACCTGAATCACAGCTTTCCATCCTGCTTTGCTGCCCCTACCGACTGGATTAAAAAGACTTGGGAATGGAATGCTCGCCAAGGTTGTTAAAAAAGAAGCCCTGAATGGGCTTCTTTGGTGGCTCAGATGGTAAAGAATCTGCCTGCAATGCGGGAGACCTGGGTTGGATCCCTGGGTTGGGAAGATCCTCTGGAAAAGGAATGGCTACCCACTTGAGTATTGTGGCCTGAAGAATTCCATGGACAGAGGAGCCTGGTGAGCTACAGTCCATGGGGCTGCAGAGTCAGACATGACTGAGTGACTTTAAAAAAAAAAAAGGCCCTGAACCAGTGTGTGTGTAGGAAATTGGCAGTCTCAAATCATATTCCTTTGTGTGTCGAGGGACAGAGGAGAAATCAGATTGTTTGTACTATAGCTTTTATTTTTCCCTTGTTATCGCTCCTCAGTTACCTGAGCTGATTTAGTGGAGCTCAAACACCTGTGTCTTTGGGATCCACGTGTGTTCCTAAGAACATTTCTATCACTCATCAGTGCTTATACAACCACATCTTGGTTCTTCATTCAAGAGAGTAGTTTCTCATTTCATTCTGTTTAGTCTGTAAAACCTAGTAACCAGCCAGTATCCACAGTATTAGTAGTGAGCAGTGTTCTGCTGTGGCAGGAGGACATACATACCGATTTATCCGGTGGTCTGGCCATAGACTGCTCGGCTTCCTCCTGCTAGCTGCCGCTCTCCCTCAGCTGATTCCAAGAGTGCTTTAAGTCTGGCACCCAGGAGCAGGGTTTCCGCTTACAGCTCTGGCCGAAGGCACCTATATTCCACTGACCTTCTCTGCAAGTACTTATAAACTAGTCACTCAGTGACTCACTGCAGATTTTAGCCTTCCTTGGAGATGGGACTCATGTTCTTGTCCAGAATATGCTGAGTTGACTAAAGCAGCCTCAGAAGAGTGGCTTCTGTTTTCACACACGCAGTTGAAAACAGGTTTTCAACAATGACTGTGATAAAAACAAAGTGTTAGGAGTGCTACTTGGACTCCATTTTGGGTGGCACTAAAATTTTACTATTTTGTGAGGTCCCAAACTCTTAACATTTCCAAACCAACAAACCTCTATCAATGAAACAATAGCATAAAGTATTACACTGTAAAATAAAACATTATTGTGTAACCCAGTTGTCTCATTTGAAATTACTTTTAGTATCTCCAGTTTTTGTTGACAGTATAAAATTCCCACCTGTCCCCTGAGATTTTGATTTTAAAATGTTTTATGAAATGGTTTTAATATCCTCATATCTGACAAAATAGAAAGCTGCCATCTACCTTGGTTCTAAAAGTTTAAAAATGTTACTGTTAAAAAAAAAATGTTACTATTTTGTGAAATCCCTAAGTTTTAAGAAACCATATTGGAAATGTTCAGCACAATACAGCTTAATATAAAGTTTCACTCTTGGAAAACGAGCTGAGAGCTAAGCTCCTTTCTAAACTCATTCAGTGGGAAGCAGCAATCTGGACAACCAATCAAAACACCTGAGGCTTCCAGCCACCCTAGTCCATAAGGTCATACACAACTTATACATTCCTTTAGTTACTAGCCGCTGAAATTTCTGATAGATGAGGGTTAGCTACTTTCTTTTAGTCCCTGTAACTGAATTAAGAGAGAAAACAAACAAAACCAAGTCCAGCTCAAACTCTCCCACATATACATTTTAATAAATGTTCAATAGCAAGCACAGAGTTTATGCAACCGGTTCTGTAAGTTCAGTGATGCCTTACCACCATGTGTTGGCAGTTCACCCATCACTTTGCATTAAAGGTCCACTTAAGGCAAACCTGACAATATTCCAGAGATGGGACTGTCCTAATCCAATCAGCAAGAAGCAACAGAAATCCCTGGATAAATGGCAGGAAGTAAAAGTCAAACCTCAGGCACCAGTCCTAAGGGTACAGACTACAGGCCTCACTAGATTCTTATATTCTTCCCATAAAGGGATGGGGAACTACTCTGAAATAATTTAGTTCACATATCCTGAATACCTCTAGTTTTACCAATGAGAGCCAATACTATTAACTAGGAGTTACATCCAGTCAACGAGCTATGAATTTCAAAAAGATAACCTACTCCAAACATTTACTCTTTTATTGAGGCTTCTGAAGTGACTGAGATATGGATGCCAGGAACACCCATAATAGCTGCCTGGGGCATTTCTGATTAGAGGCTGAGCTGTCCACTGCTGGAGAGGAAAACCCAAGGTAGAGCTGCTAACTGCTGCAGGGGAGCATGTAACCTGACACACGTATAAAAATGCTACGAATGCGAACTCGGGAAAAGAGAAAACCCTATTCCCAACTCCTCAGGACTCAACAGATTTCGTCTCAGGTGGGGACAAGAGGCAGCAGTATGAAGACGGAAAGGGGGAAGGGGAGTCTATGTAGTTCTGACCCCCCTACCCACCCTAAGCTACAGAGGCTGCCACATGCTGCCCTTTCAGCAATGGTAACTAATACTTAGCAGGACTTGAGAGTATCACAGAAACTGTGTGGCTTCTTGTAAAAAAACAAAACAAACATGTATTACAAGACTTATTTTTATTACAACAGTAAAATAACATTTTTGTTTTGAATCATTTCATCAGTTCTAGGTGGAAGCACATCATAAGTAGGGAATAAACTAATTTAAAATAGAAAAAAATAGCTACTGTAAGTACAATTTTATTAGAAAGAATATGAGGTAAACTTCAGAAAGGCAGAGCTAAATCTTAGTCTTTTGTGACACATGAATTCAGTTTATAGTCACCAAAGCATCTGCGTTGCCCAAGGAAGCGCTCCCCCCAGTGGTCTCTCATAGGAACTTGAACAAAGTTAAGCTAGCAATAATCGATTACGGAGTCAAACAGAACACACTAACTAGAAAATTCTTTATTAAATCATATCTTGATTTACGGTGACTGAGAAAGAATTACATTTATTAGCTTCTGAATTCTAAGTAACTCAAGATATGTTCAGCTGAAATAGTAGTCTTAAATGTACAAAAATATTTAATCATAGGTTCAACTTTCATAGTGACTAATAACCTGAAAGTGGAGGTCCTTTTATCTGATGAATATTTAACTCTATCCTGGCACTATTTTAGATACTAGACATGCCAATGGAAAAAAACCAAGTAACTTTCCAATTTTAAATTTAAAGGAAAACTGTAGTCCTTGAAATGTTTACTGATTAAGTATTTTCATAATTATGTTTTAGACGTGTTTTGTTCGTAATGCTTATAGAGACAAAAAAAATCTGGACAGTTGGCAGATTAAATCATTTCCTTCTTGAACACATCCTATAACTTTATAAAACTCCAGTGACTTTTGTACCAGCTGGGCATCCCGAGATTGCCTGGGAGACTTAACCAGTTATCGGGCATTCACCCTGGGCTAGATACCCAGCACTGCACGAGTCGAACAGGTATCTGGGAGCAGCACTTACGTGCCCGCCCACTGAGATATGCCTTGGTTTGGTTGAGAAACTTTAAAAAAAAAAAATTATTTTTGGTTGTACTAGGTCTTCGTTGTGTGCAAGCTATTCTCTGGTTGCAGAGCACAGGCTCTAGGGCACGTGAGCTCAGCAGCCACGGCTCCCAAGCTCTAGAGTACAGGCTCAGCAGTTGTGGTACATGGGCATAGTTGCTCCACAGAATGTGGGGTCTTCCAGGATTAGGGGTGGAACCTGTGTCTCCTGCACTGGCAGGTGGATTCTTTACCACTGAGCCACGTAGGAAGCCCTGGTTGAGGAACTCTTATAGGGAAATAGAAGGTATCTAATAAGTACTTACTACAATGAATGGTTTTCAGAACATGATGAAAATCTGTAATTCTAAAGACTTTTATATCATGTTCATAGATGCCTTCAAAATGTAAATAAATCATATAATTATTCAGACTTGTTTGGTGACACCTAAACTTCAGAACACTTGCAAAGACATCACCTGTAAAAGCAGTCACTTCAATGCAATTAAAATGCTATTTTAAAAAATATCCTTTAAAACAGTGGTTCTCAAACTTTAGCAAGGATCAGATTCTCTGGGGCGGGGAGGGCGAAAGGGGGGGAAGCTGTTTAAACTACATATGCTTGCCCCGCCCCCAGAGTTCCTGACAAGTTTCCAGGTGGTCTACGAATGACACTCTGAGAACCACTGCTTTATGACAGAGCCTCCAGAATTCCAACTTGGAAGTGATGCCCATATGCTATTGCTTTTTCTAATAGTAAATAAATAAAAGGACATTTCTGATATGGCTTCACCAAACTTCAAATTTTTATACTCTTGGAATGTCCTACTTAAGTAGAGTAACACATAAAACTTATGCACCTTGACTTATAACAACTTCCACGAGTTCAAAAGACAGAACCACAGACTAGTCCAGTACTGGATAATCTATGACTATGTGACAACATTACTGACAAAACCTACAGCAACTATCAGGGGACAGGGACTGTGCTGCTCCTCCCTGCTTCTTCCCCTTAGAAAATCTTAACAGGAAGTCATGAAGGGCACTGCCCTCAACATGAGAACATGACCTACTATGCATGTCTACATAAACAGTGCATGAACTGCCATGTGTACATGAACGATGCATGAACCATTATATGTACACAAACAGTGCATGAACCGCCATACTGAAGACTAAGAGTCAGGAACTTCTTCATCAGGACAGCAGTAATATTCCACAAAGCATATTTGTCCATCTTCATTTCTAATCATATACTGTAATGAGAGAAATCCTCGGTTATCTGTTCGAATAGATACCTTACAAGACAGGACTAATGCCTTTGTAGAGGGTTTCAGTAAAGAAATCTTGTATCTGCAGAAAAGTAAACAAAAAGCTGTTATGTGGACACTCTTGAAGCATAATTCCAAGGACAAAAGTTAGCTGAGAACCACCAAATAGCAAATATAAGAACAGAATCAAAGAGCTGTCCAATTTGCTAATACTTTCTTCATTTTGAAAATTTACTTCACTATCACAATGCCAAATTCCCAAGTAAACCCAGCAATCTACTATTTATTTCTTGCTATACTTTTATCTACACACTGAAAGTCTTAAAAAAAACTGATTTAATAGAAATATAGTATTTAACCTCGCCTTCATCACCAAATGGCAACCTACTGACCTGTTGACCTGGGTCTGATTGCAGTGAAATGATTCCATCAAATCAGAATCTTTGGGATAGTCAAGGTGGGAGCTTCCTGCATTCCCAAAAGTAGATAACCTATAGTAGAAAATGAGCAATTCATTCATTCATTGGTTCAACAATAAGCTACATTAGTATCCAAATAAGCAAACACTTCCTTAAGAAGCTCATTCCAGTGAGTGAAACAGGTATGTAGACAGCTGTAGACAAGGCACTGTAACAATGATATATTAAAGATTCTTGTAGATGCTGCCAGAGTACAGAGAGCGAGCAACTAATAAATGACTTTGCAAAAAGCCAGTCACAGAAGGAATCTAGGGGGCTTTGCCTCAATTTCATTACCTTAATATTACTTTGATATTGTCCTTCCCTCTTCCTCAAATCAGAACCATGTAACAGGAGAGTGGAGGAGTGACGGAAGACCCTGATCTATGTCAACGGCAAACCCAGGCTTGCCACACCAAGCAATTTGGGCTTTTGTGTGTCTCAGATGGTTTTCAGGCTGTTTTATGGTTTTTCTTTGCTTGGGAGTATCAGTAGGTTGCAGACAATTTGTGAATGTTTATGTTTACTTAACTTACTGATCATTTGTTTTGGAAAGTGAAAGTATTAGTGGCTGAAGTCCTGTTCGACTCTGCGATGCCATGGACTGAAGCTCACCAGGTTCCCCTGTCCATGGGATTCTCCAGCAAGAATACTGGAGTGGGTTGCCATGACCTCCTCCAGGGGACCTTCCCGACCAAGGGATCGAACCTGGGTTATCCTGCATTGCAGGCAGATTCTTTACCATCTGAGCCACCTGGAATTAACATATATGAGCACTGTATGTGACTGCTATATGAGCACAGTGATAAAGACATAGGTGCTTGCTGGCTTTCCTCAGAATCCATCTTTCCTCTTTCTCTGAGCCATATTGTTTAGGCCCAGCCATGCTGATGGTTCCCAAATCTAAATTTTTAGTCTAGACTGATCTCCTGAACTCTATACCTATCTATCCAACTACTCCTTAGTGTCACAGGCTCAAGTTTAACATATCCAGAAAAAAATACTTCAACTTCCAGTTTCCTACCACCAAATAATTTCCTGTACGGGAGATGAAAAATACCATGATCCACCTAGTCACACATGCTGAGAGAGATCGTTTAGATGAGGAGCCTCTGGAATACTCTGTTTAAAGTGCCTGGAATCTTTAATTCACATCACTGCTTAAGTAGGGTTAGACTCATTTCCATTTTTATTAGCATTTTAACCAAACTTGAGCCAATTTTTTAACTACCTAACCAGTAAGAAAAGCCTGCAGTTCTTCTAAAGTAGATTCAAAAAGAATTACACCTCTCATACCGTATGTATTTAACTCCTTTACTCTAATATTCTGAAATATTTCAGAAGAGTAGAAATAAATAAATTCTCTCTCTAAACTGATTCTAATCCTGAAGAGTTTTGCCATTTCATTTGTTGGGTCAAAATATGAAAAGCAGCTTGATAGTTTTTGACACCATATTCCTGCTGAAAATTGTCCTCTTAGGAAGCTCACCTCGACCATGCCTCCCTAGGCAGCCCTGTGCTGGTTCCCTAAGGATCTTAATGGCATGTAATTTTGTTTTCTCTAAAGTGTTCCTCGTATATCCTCGTCACCTTGATTAAGCTTTTCCTTCCTGTAGTGCTTAATAAGGTAAATATGCACACTATAGGTGATTGATACTTAGTGAATGAACCATGTATAGAAAACACCTATTCCCTCCAGCATCCTGTACTAACTTGGGAAAAAGAGATACCATATGCTGTGAACACCTTTTGCAAAAGTTTAAGCTCAATTTTCCTCACAACGCAACTGATCTGTGATGGTAAGCAGTACAGCAATGAAATGACCACTAGTTTATGAACTCAAGAGATTGGGCTACTCTTCTAGAAACCAACACTACCTAGCTTTAAATAGTGAGTTAGTCTTCCTGGGTCTTCTACTGTCCTGACACATAAAAGTATGAAGTAAGAGTAGAAGCTCTCTGAAGTTCTGAAAATTCTCGTAACCTGGGTAACAAAAACTCTGCATCCTAAGCAAATGTGTAAGTAGGTAGATGGAGTAAACTACAATAACTAGGACTGCAGGGTTTTCAAGTACCTGAAATAAGGTTTATCTGGAGACATGGTGATCTGCAGGACCTCACTCGTCATATCCAACTCAGAAAATGCTTCACGGAGCCCCTCTGACTGCAGAATAATTTTATTAATGACATTGGTGCTGCAGAAATCAAAATCCAGAGTCTCCTCAGGCTCTTGAGTATTGATTTTACACACTGTCACCACGCCTCCTTCTTCCAGAAACAGCATCAGAGGGTAACCATAACCTTGGTAACACATCCGAAGTGCAGTAAAAGTCCCTGCAATGGAAACAAATCATACTCTGGGCTCAGCTTCTCCTCAAATGATGCCTAAAACTCAAGAATATTTTACTGTGTCCATTTCTAGCATATATGTATGTATATCCTTATGAGAAGGGACTACATCTTCCCTGATGATAGTTGTGTGTAGACAATTCCAAAAATAACTGCAAAAAATTGGGAATAAAATATAACTCTGAAATAGTTTTCCAGGTTACAAAAAAAAAAACCACTTCAGAGATAGCTAGGTGATTATATATAAATATACAATTTTAGGATGGAGAATCTATACCGTCCATATTGCATTTATTAATAATAACTGTTGTAGGATAGACTGTGCTATTCTTGAAGATTCAATCTGTGTTAACAATGGATTGCTTTCATATTGTCTTATTATAACATCAATGTATTCACTGTGATAAGGACCCTTCCAATGTTTTCTACTGGGAGATAGTCTTTATATTTCACCACATCTTAAGGTCTAATTGGGAGAAAAAGGGTGGTTGATGGAGGTTAGGGTTTTAGCTCTGCCAAACACTAAAGAGCAGAAGGAATATGACAGGACACTCTACTCTTTCTTACTGGGTGGAGAACCACAATGATGAATGGAAGAAGGCAGGTGCTTTTATGGAAAACCAGTTGCGGATCACTGCATTAGAAAATGTATACTTTTAACCAATTGCAATAATAACGGAATTGTCAGTACAAAATTAAAACATATTTTCTAGAGGACCATAACGGTTCCTTTCCTATGAAGTAAAAATCATCCTTCTGGGGTTTCCTTGTAGTTTTAACTATTTCTAAAAGTATATGACTATTTTAAAGAAAAGCATTTAGGAAAATAATTTATAAATAGGGCTTAAAGAAAAAAAGCAAATGTTAAACACAGTGAACTGGGAGTTAGGACAACTGGTATCTGTTTTTCTCTGTCACTAACTATAATTCTTGACAAGTCATTAGGGAAAAGAAGCAATTAAAATATATTTCTCAATGTTAAACATATTTAAGACATGTTCAAAGTATTCTTTTGATTGGTTCAAATTTAAAATCCTAAAAGCTTTGTAAATTAAAAGGTGAATGTAAATATAAGAACCATTAGCATCTACTAATGTTGTGAAAAATCAGAACACATGATTGTGGCAGATGAAAAATAAATTGGCAATTAATTTTTTAAACAAACGTTTATATTACTTATATTCTAATAATTTTTCCTGTACTTTTCGGACCATCCAGAAATGCTTTTATGTTATTATAATGACAATAAAATAGTTCACCTGGCACAGGACTTGATCCAAAAATAGACAAACAGTCTAAAAGGACAGTTAAATTAATTCGAAAAGTAACAGACTCTTCTTGAACTCTAAACTCTTGAAATATTTCAGCCTATAAAAAAAAAAGTAAATGTGAAAATGTATGTTAAAGAATGAAAATGCACACATACAATTCTAGAGCTCACTTTGTTTTTAAAATAACAATATTGTGCTAAACCCATGAAAATAATTTGATTATCAATCAACACATCTTAAACTTTTTCAACTGTGATCCTTTAGAATACTCCTCCTCAGTAGTGGAAGGTGTACCTGATTTCAGTCTGAGGCAGAACTTTATGAAAAGGCCCTCCATCTAGCCCCTTGGAGTCATCCCTTACATGACTCTCCCTTGTCTCCTTTTTGTGCCCATCAGTTGGGCTAAGGTCATGTGGGAAACAGCCAAACAAATTAGACAACGCATGAGTAACACTGGTTCTCAATTTCTTTTGAGGACGGGAACCATGTCTGATTAATCCCTCTATACCTGAGGTCATGCTGTGCCCTTAGGTGTTCCAAAAAAATGCTAAATTGAATGTGAAATCTTACCTGAACCATACAACTATTACTTTGTAAGAACAAACAGATTATAACCAATAAGAGGAAAAAATAATAGCGAAGTAGTGCAAAAGAGCATATACTACAGAAACAAATGCTGTGGGTTCTCATCCCAACTAAGCCACTTGCCAGCTATAGGACTGCTGACAAATGACTTAAATAGCGTCTCAGTTTCCACAAATGTAAAATGGGAATAATAATAGAACCACCTCATAGGACTGTTGTGAGGGTTAAATTATTTAAACATATAAACATACAAAACACTCAGAAAAAGTGCCCACCTATAGTTTAATATATTTTAGACATTATTAACCATTACCTCTGTAAAACAGGATAGGAAAAGGATTTGTTACCAGGAGAGAAAAAGAATTCAAATAATATTTTGTGCTCCAACTTAAATGAGAACCGTTGGAATTCATTGACCTGGGTGAAGAAGGTCATATTTCACTGGATTAAAGGTGCCAACTTCCATACCTGAATAAAAGCATTTGCTTGTACACATTTTGCGTTTTCCACTGTAACCTTGATTCCATTTTTAGTAGCGAAACACGTGGCATGTTCTCGGAAATGAATAGCCTTCAAGATAGTGGAGAGGTTCCTGACGTTGTCAAGGCTGGCCACTAAGCAGTAATCATTCTCGTCTGTAATCCGCTGGGTTAGGAGGGGCATGGTCCACGGCGCATTCGGCCCCGAGGGATGCTCCTGACGAGATGCGACAATAAAACTCCCCGTCCAGGCTGGCGAGGCCCGCGATTTCAACCTGCGCTGAGCCGAGCGGAAGAGGCCTGGACGCTGAACTCGCCGAAGTAGGGACTGAAACCCCACCACCTCTGCCACTTAACTATCTCAACTTCGGGGAAAATTACCCTGTAAAGCAGGGTTTCGTCGTCTTTAGTAAGGGGACAGTAACACGAAAAGTTACGAAGGACAGAAATACACAACTAACACGGTCACCGGGGTCAGTTTCGCCAACCCAAACAGAGGCTCCGCTTCCTCAGTCACAGAAGAGGTGTCCCGCGCCTCCAATCTTGCTTCTAACAGGATATACTAGAGGGGCGGGCTTGAGCCCTTGGAAGGTCCTCCAAGAAACCCAGACAACCACCCAACACCACTCACCAGCCCACAACCCACTTACAGACTTGTCTTGGGATCCCCAGCGCTCAAATCCTACCCTTGGGCAGCGCCGGGACGCAGCTCCTAGAAAACTGCAGAGAAAGTGGAGCGGCTCCCGCCACTCTATTCAGATACTGCCGACCACCTCGGCCACCGTCACCACAGAGATAGAGGAGGCCTAGAGAGCCGACCGGGCCGTACCATAGAGACGGGAAAGAGGCACCATAGAGCTGCAGGACCGTGGAGCTGGGGGCCGGGACCATAGAGACGGGAAGGCGGAGCGAGCGGCAGAGCCGGAAGGAAAGCCCAAAGCGAAGGCGCGGAGCAAGATGGCGGCGACCAAGAGGAAACGGCGTGGAGGATTGGCGGTTCAGGCGAAAAAGCTGAAAAGAGACGCGAAAGATGGCAAGTTGCCGGCTAAGCCGAACGACGTATCAGAGGAGGCGGCGGAAGAAGAGAAAGATCGTATCCCAGGCCCAGTTTGCAAGGTAAAGGGGGCTTTGCGGCCGCGGCTCCACGCTTCTTTCGTTGTGGTACCTACCTGATTACCGCTCTGCGGGTTTCAGAATTGCTGGGAGTGTTACGGGAGCTCTGCCTCAGCTCGCCCGGCGGGACCCGCTGCCGCGTTTGCATTTAACCCTAGTGCACGTGGCTGCACTCTTGGCAGGCTGCTGACTGAGAAACTTCACCGATTTCAAAGCTGTTACCTCCCTCGCAGAGAAGCGACTTTAGGGAACTGTTACAGTGTTTGGTCTAATAACCTTCGTTTTTTGTTGTTGTCGGAGGAAGGAATTCTTCCTTAAACTTGTTTGTCTCCCTCGAGTATATATCCCTTCCAGTGATGGGATATCCAGAACATTCCCATATTCTGAATCTTGAAGCTGGTTATGCGATTCTTTAAAAAGCTACTGTCCTTTGGGACTATGCCTTAGACGTGATCTTTTTTTTTTTTAATTTTACTTTTAATTGGAGGATAATTGCTTTACAATGTTGTGTTGTACAGTTTTCTAATGTACAACAACGTGAATCAGCCATAAGTATACATATATTCACTCCCTCTTGAACCTCATTCCCATTCCATCCCCGACTTGTTTGATTTGTAACTCTCAAGGAATACGGAAAACTAGGGTAGATACTATGAGTTTTAGGTGTATTCGACAAAGTTTTAATGTGCCAAGCACTGTAAGAAGTTGGGTTTCCCGTGCTTCGGGATTGCAAAACTAAAACGTGACCACTTTCTCCTAAAATGTTGGAGTTTAGAAAGAAACTAAGAACTGATATGTAAGTTGATGGTTTTTATTGAGGAGAAGGTGAACACAAGTTGTTGAACCTTAATTCATCTGAGAGCTCCTTAAGCTAGATAAAATACTGTGGAGACAATTGGTCTGCTTTAGTAACTTCCTTCCATCGTCCCCGCCACCCCCACCACAGCTTAGCATAGATCTCTATATACCACGTAGTGAGTGATAGGTAAATGACCCTTTGTAGTGGTTTGCAAGCACTGGGAAAGGAGTTAGCTTTGAGGAATGAAAGATAAGCTTGAATTCTAACCCTAAGAGAGGACTAAGAGTTGTTGGAAAGAGAAATTGACAGCGTTTACTGGTGCTTATGATATGAGATAAGGGCACATGGAAGATTCAAAGCATGGGGACTAAGATAATGGTGACATCATCAGAAAAATAGTAAGGAAGTTTACCAAATTTTAAGATTTGGTGTCCTAAAGTTGAACTTGAGGTAAGTTAGATACTGGATTATTTGAGCTAGAAAGAGTTCCTTATCTTTCTGTAGAGTTAGTTGACAGTGAAAGCTGTGAGAGTGATTATGAGAACTGTCATAATCAGGAGGAGGAACTGGAGAAATTGCAGAAAAACAAAAGGAAGGGAAGCCAAGGAGGTATCCGGGTGGCAGCTGGGGTCAGTAAATGCTACTGAGATTGAATTAAAGGCTGAGCTCAGGATTGTTTGTGTTGCTACTTGGAAGCATTTATTTTTAAACAAACAAGATAGATTCACCATGAAATGTTAAAATTCTCACACTTTTTTCCTTTAGGGGAAGTGGAAAAATAAGGAACGGATTCTCATCTTTTCTTCTAGAGGAATAAATTTCAGAACAAGACATTTAATGCAAGACTTGAGAATGTTGATGCCTCATTCTAAAGCAGGTGCTTTCATATCGTATGCTTTAAGATTCCGTATTTGTAAACTTGCTTGTTTATATATTTTCACTTCTGGTCACGCTTCGTTCATTCAGCATGTCAGGTAAAGAACAGTGACTTCTCAGAAGTTTTATCTGTTCAGTGCTAAGATTTTTCCAATTAATATATTTTAGAAATTCTCTGAAAAATTCATTAAGCACTGTCTTCTCTAAAACATTTTTTGAAAGTCTGAGAATATGTTCTCAGAGGCCATGAGCTGTTTTGTCCTTCTAAATGAATCAAGACTGCCATGTATTATTTTCTGAATTTAAAACAAAACAAAACAAAAAACTGTTCTTATTAAAAACTTAATGTACCAGGAATATGACTTGAAGCACCTTTAAGTTGGGACTCAGTCTGCTCCTAATGCCAGGCTTTTGCTTTTATAATGGGGTGTCTTACAGGCAAATGAAAAACACTTAGTAATGGGCTTTGGAACCATGGCAGTGTTCTCATGCAGCTGTTTTTTGTGCCTGTGTTGGGAGGTGCTTAGGTTTTAATTCTTGGTAATAACATAACAGTGTTTCTGAATAAAATAACGGTGTTTCTGAAACTGAGGTCTGTAGTTACATAAAGAGAATTTTAATTTATATTGTTTGCTAAGTGAGTGTTTCTAAAACCTGTGTCCTAAAATTGGTTTGTGAGAATTTTTCTGTTTTGGAAAGAGATTCATAAAATTTAGGTAGACCTCATTTTATTGTACTTCACTTTTTTGCAGTTTTTTTCCCCTCCATTTGCAGACTTGTGGTAACCCTGTGACAAGCAAGTCTCTTGGCGCCATTTTTCCAATGGCATTTATTTGATCACTTTGTATCTCTGTCACATTTTTGGTAATTCTTGCAGTGTTTCAAACCTTTTCATTGATGTTATTTTGTGATCTGTGATCAGTGATCTTTGAAGTTACTACTGTGGCTCACTGGAGGCTCAGATGATGGTTAGCATTTTATAGAATAAAATACTTTTAAATTAAGGCATGTACATTGTTTATTTAAACATGTATTTGTATATCTGATAGACTACGGTAGAATATAAGCATGACATTTATATGCGCTAGGAAATCAAAAAAATTTATATGACTTGCTTTCTTTCAATATTCTCTTTATTACGGTCATCTGGAACTGAACAGGCAGAATCTCTGAGGTATGCCTGCACACAGAGAAACACTGCCTAGATCTTTGTAATTCCTGAGGACTATTTTCAGTCACTCATTTTTGCATTTCAAAAGAACAAGATTTTTAAAGAGGTCATGTGTCTTCAGCTGTAATCATTTTGAAGATCAATAAATCTCATTTAAACTGAAAATTATAAAGATACTTAATAGTTAATTTTCTAGAAAATATGAGTGATTTGATTGAAGTAGCTTTGAAATCTTTTGTTTTTTTTCTTTTTACAGATACTAAAATGGATCGTAAAGATAAGTTATTTGTGATTAATGAGGTAATTTAAGAAAAGAAAGTAAAATATTCTAGCAGCACTGTTTAGAAACAATATTTTAGAATGTGAGAAATTGATCATTAAAAAAATAAGTCAGTTATCCAGTGACTTGAGTTGTTTTGTATAAGACACGCAAATTTTATGAACTTTTAATTATGTACCTTCTAAATTTTTATAGTACTCATTGTCTGTTTCACACAGTTTATTGCTTCAGTACATATTATTTCTTGGTCATTCTTAAATTTGTCTTCTCTCAAGCATATTGAGGAAAATATTTTGCTAGTATTAAAAGCAGTGCATGTGATATTTGCTCTTAAGGTATTAGGGACTAGTAATAGGTTAAAATTTCAAAGTAGTGTTGAAAACTAAACTTCCATTTTTAAAGCAAATTTTTTTAAAACTTAGAAGAATTGTTTTAGATACTTCTCTTTAGTTATTAGAAAGGCTTCTGTTATTCATTTAGCACAAATTTTTGAAGCCCTGTTCTATCATGGGATTATTCTATAGAAACAGTGTTAAAAGAAATGCCTCTGTTATCGTGGAACTTACATTCTAATGAGGGAGTCAGGCCCCTAATAGGTAGTATAATTTCAAATGAAGATAGGAGACATAAACAGGATCTGGATTGCAGCAACTGAAGCTCACAACTTAGCATGTAGTTATATTTATTCCTAGAAAGTAAGCAACAAAAGCATTGGATTGATGAATTCTTTAATCCTCAGGTAGCGTATATATATTAATTTATAAATACTACAATAATAAAGGACTTCATTCCCTTATTGCTTTTGTGCATTTCTCACTTGTGACTTTATAAATGTTTAAGATGTTGAAGTTTAATTCAACTTGGAATAGGTTTTGTATACTCCTTAGTGATTTTACAGAACCAAATCACAGAAATGGTAGTACAGATGAGGAAGAAAAAACATAA